TATTTTTTGATCAGTTTTAACGATGGTCACTTGGAATGACTAGAATTCGCCTAATCTTAAAAAAGGACGAACCAAAATGTTTGAAAAACTCTTAACTTACTTTCACAATTGTTATGGACTTGCAAGGCTCCAAACACTATTAGAGAAACACTCGAGCCACAATCGCATTTTACGAGGGCAAGTTACACTTCGATACAGTAAGAATTCAACACGGTTGTTGTTGACACCCTTCGGCAAGGTTTGGCACTGGTTTAAGCTGTTTTTTTTTCGACAATATCTTCTAGACTAAGTAAGTAGTCTTGACTTACTCCGGCTCGTTTTTTAGGCCAGTTGGTGCTTCAAAGATGTCTTGAAATAGTATCTGCAATAAAACTGCTCCTTGTGCCCGAAATGGGCACGTTACAGTTGTCGTATGTAACGTACCGAAAATCGTACCGAAAACTGTAACGCGCTCATTTCGGGCATAAGGAGCTTTTTTTTTGCAAAATGTTTTTTCAAGACGTTTTTGAGGCACTAGCTGGCCTATCGAACGAGCCGGAGTATGTCAAAATTACTGACTTCATCTAGAAGATATTGTCGAAAAAGTGATTGTACCGCATTTTTGCGTTACGGACCCCTGCACTGTTAAAGTCTTACGAAGAAAAATGCCAAATCCTTTGTAATACGAAGGATTTGGACGCTTCGTAAGGAGAAAATCCTTCGTAGGTACGAAGCATTTGGCATTTTGCTTCGTAAGACTTTAACTGTGTGCTGCAGAGGGGGCTGTGAAGTGCAACCAAAACCCTAAGAGTGTGCACCATAGAATTGAACTCTGCAATGTGCATGCCAGCTGCACACTTCTTTTTTCAGTGCAGCAATTAATTCGGGTCACAAACTGCTCCGTGGGATTTGCCACAATATTTCCACATCCCTGCTAACTTTCTTACAGCCTCAGCCGCCACCGCATGAAGAAAGCCACCACCTCCAGCCAGTGCCATAGTGCCGGGGACCCAGGGACCCACAGCGCTTCGAGACCATCACTTGTCGTGCAGTACCGTATGCAGGGCTTGCAGGGGCCTTGCAGAGCATGCCCTTATCGGCTGGCCCGGCTGGCTGGCGGGCTGGCGGTGCGCAGGGCGGCGGGCGCGGCGGGCCCAGGGCCGGGCCTAGGGCCGGGCGGGCGGGGCCCCTCGGGTGGGCAGGGCCCGGGCAGGGCAGGGCCCGTTACAATGGGGCAGCCCGAGGCGGCCCGGGTCCCCGCCAGCAAGCCAGCCTCTCTTTTCGCCGGCGCGCTGCATCTCACGGCAGTGTCTGTCCGTTTGTCCGTCTGTCTCTCGCGTTTTCGGATGGGAGGCGAAGGGGGAGAAGAGGGGAGGGAGCCTCTGTTAGCTGGCGCCAGGTGCAGCGCGGGCGCCGCGGCCAGTCTCGTCTATTCTTTTTAGCAAATCTTTTCGCCTGCCCAGCCCGGCTGTGCCCGGCTGTGCCCGGCTGTGCCCGGCCGCTGGCGCGCGCCTATGGCTATGCCGCCGCCGCTGGTGGTGCTGCTGCTGCTCCCGTTCGCGGCCGCTATGATTGAAGGTTAGGGACGTAAGGGACGTCCGCCGCGTAACGGAACGCTATAACTCGTAACGTTTGTACACTGCAAAGGCGAGCACGCGCGCTGCGGGCCTCAACTACTAGTCTTCTGCATGTGCAGTGGGTGTCGAACTAGAGTGAGGTAGAAAATAAGTAGTAGAGATTGTTTTCCCGTCTTTTATAGTTGTTTTTAGCCACGCCCAGAGACCCATAAGCCAAGAGAGACTCCTGCAGTGCATATTTGTTGTCGCCACTAAGTTTTGTCCATGTTTTATTTTGGGTTCCGATGGTGTTGCCTTGAGAGCCGTGGGCCGACGTTTCGCGCGAGACACCTCTTCTTTGCGCGTTCTTTCTCTTCTCCCTCTACGTGACGGCGACGGCGAGGGTGGCTGTCGGCTCTCTGGTGACGCTACGGAGGCGGTAAAATCGGATAACATAATACGTCCGCCGGATGATATGACGACGCGCTCGCTCACTCACATGTTGCGATCAGATACTCCGCTCGTTCTGCTATTTGCACTAAAAAGCCCGACGGCAGCAACACGTACGGTAACAAGTTTCGTTGTGGTGCTCCGCGGCGGTGGCACTGCGCTGCGGGGCGCTGCTTGGCGACATGCAACACGTTCCCATGGCCTGCTGCAATTACCCGGTCAGTGTTTACTTGTTTGAGGCGCCCCGTTGCGACCCACCGCGTCAATCCGGTGATTGACTCTTTTCTAGGAAACAGGTGTTGGCCGATGTCCAGGAGGAGGTGCGTCCCCGCACCCCGCCGGGCGCCGCCGCGCCGCAGCGACAGGCGCCACGCCGCAGGAAACGTGTTTGCCACGCATGCATCCCGTTCGCCGCTCGGAAGGCAGAGGAAATGATCGGCCGCTGGCCGTGTGCAGGAGGCTTTCGATGCGTCAAGTTCGGGTGTGACGGCGAGAGTTTCAGTGGTCAGCTGGCAAGTAGTGTCCGCATGGGTCAGCGTACCGATCTCTGCCACCCCAAGAGAAAAATAAAAAACAAATGTCAGGACGTAGTTGATCACAATGGACCCTGGAGCTTAAAATTAGCGTGTACTATTTTTAGGAAGTCGGCCGAGTAATATATTTTTAATAATGAGTTTGCTTCTACCCTTACTTAATTATTTGAGGAAATATCCTCTTTGTGGCTGTATAATTCCTGAAAGCGTATAGAGTTATCTTTTTCGGAGCATTAAGAACTGCTTCGGTTAAATGGCTTACGCCGCTTGCTGCATTGGACGGTTTGAAGAAAGGTGCACTGCAAAACACAACAACAAAAAACGGAAGATGTTGGTGCGTCTTGTTGCCGTGCCTCCTTCACGGGCACTGACCGTCACACGAGCGTGGAAGGCAGCCTTCCCTATCATTCCCCATTAACGACATGACGCTCCGCTAGCCGCGTGGTGCGGCGCGACCCATCGGGGTTGACCACCAAGCAGCGCTGCGCTCGACAAAGTACCGCCCGGCGCATATGGTGATTAGGGATCGCCGGGCGCGCTGTCCAATTTTGTTGCTGTCCTTCCGGTCACACCGCGAGTTGCATCGTTAAGATTTCCCATTGGGGCGAAGACGCCGCCGCCCCTGCCGTGGAGAAGGCGGGCGACTTGCAGATCAGCGAGCCGCGGGCGAATGGCCATTTCCCATTTCCCATTCTTTCTTTGCCGCGTCGCTGGTATTTCTGGTGCTCAGAAAGCTCGTTATGGAAGTCTGTGCGGATCCTCTTGCAGAGGCTCACCTGCTCAATGCAAGCTTGCTTAAGACGAGAGCATGAGAGCGCCGCGCCGTCGCACCGTCTTAATTGCATCGTCGTCACGTCGTAACGCAATGGTGTCCGGCCGTGGGAAGTGCAGCGCGACGCGACGTCAATCTCAGGGATCGCCCGTTGCGCGCGTGTCCCCGCCTGCCCTCTCTATGGGAGAAGAAAGGTCGCTTTTCTCATTATTTGTCTTACCGCCTCTGCGCTGTAAGGAGTGAAGAAATTAAATTACCGGGAGGAAGAAACGAAACGCAAAAGGGGGGAAAAAATGAACGTGCACCATGCGATTACGCACCAGGACACATTTCGACAAGAGGCTTCCACCGGTTTCGAAAATAAATACTGACTTGTTACTTCCTCCTATAAACACAAACTAGTAGTCTATTCGGTGGCCTGGTCCGGGCTGGTCGGCTTGCTGCTTGGTGGCCGGGCGGCTCATTTACGGGGTGTAGCTCCCGCCGGTGGCCCGGCACGGGTGGCGCTCGCATGCTGCTGCAGCCGCACGCCACTGTGCGACCGACACTCCACGACATGACACAAGAGGTTTACTCAAGCAGGTGCTACACCCCGCTCAAACCCCCACCCCACGAGGACTGGCTCCGCCCTCGCCGCGCCGCCACAGCGCGCGTCACACCGTGCGAAGAGCTCTCCTGTCTCCCCCACGTCATAGAGCGCTGTTTGTAAATAATTTAGCGCGTGAATTTAAATTACAGCATCCTCGTAATAATACCGTTGGTCTTATCCCCCCACTTACTGTACTCAGAAGGAACCGACTTTATAGAAAAGTATATAGTAAATGCTGGTTTTAGCAACCATCCCCCTCACGGGAAATGCACGGAGTTTACGAAACTATCATACTCTTGATTACATTTCACTGTATTTCTTCCTATTTGTTTAGGAGCTGCAGCAGGTTTTGCTATATTTTTACGACGGAAGCACAAGCAGGAGCAGGCGTCCAGCTAGGACTGTGATGGACGCGCTAGTAGTCTGCCGCGCTCCTGCTCTTGTGTGTGTGTGTGTGTGTGTGTGTGTGTGTGTGTGTACACGTGTGTGTGTGTGTGCGCGTGTGTGTGCGTGTGCCAAACGTGCAAGCAGGCGTAACTCCCCTACCTCTGCCCGCCGCACCCGCAACCCTTTTCACGAGGATCCTCTCCTTTACGAGCGCGCGCTACACGCGCTACACGCCCGGGCCTAGTAACTGTCACTTAAAGGGCGTGTAGATTGATGTGCGATAGTGGCGTTATTTCTGGTGCAAAATGTTGTGCATCCGGAGGCTCTAGTTGTGGAGCTGGAGTTCCGTAGTCATTCATTCGCTTGCCCATTCAGCGCGATTCAAGGCGATAAAACGTCCTTTTTGTTGAGCAGTTCTATATTGGTGGAAAAATAATGGGTAGAATGAGGAGCTTTTATCGTTGACCACGGTCGTGTCTCTCGCATCTTTTCTCTAAAACTGACCATACGGGTTTATTGGTCTGTAAAATCTGTATGCACAAGTACGTACGCTTGCCGCTTGCATGAAGCAAAAGTTGTTCTGTGTTCTAAACAACACCAAAAAAACACAAAAAGGAGCAATATGTACAATTGATGCTCGTTATTCGTGTAAGCACGCGTTGCACACCTCGTTACAGAAGCCTCGCGTGACCTTTTACTTCTGATTCGCTCGACGCTGATCTGATTCCTCCAAACCCCATAAGTTGGTGGGTAACGGGAAGCGGCGGCCGGCCTCTTTAATTGGGCTCTAAAACTTAGTCGAATCTGGGGAAACACCCTCCGTAAAGTTGGCGAATTTCTCGGCCTCACACACTCACACATGGTGCAGTCAGCTCAGCGAGGGTTTCCGAGAAATTCGCGCGCGCGGGCTGCGGCGCGGTTTGCGCTGGGCGTGGCGTGGCGGGGGCGCGGG